TAAAAAAATTGCTGCGTTGGGAGTGTAAGAAGAGTGTATATATGTGTTTAGCAGTTATGAGATCCATGTGCATGTTTGCCGATGTGTGGCAAAACTAACATTTCACTCCACCCTTTCAGGACTGTAATGGATACATAGTGATGGTCCCATACAGCAAGGACACATTTCAGCAGAGAAATCTGATGTTCATCCAGTGTTTTAGAAACAGCAAGAGAATAATTCTCTTGAAACTAGTTCCTGGTTGAGTGAGGTCCAATCAGCCCACAAGCTCTGGGCTGAATCAGAGCCAGAGTAGCGATCAAAAGCCAATGCTGGAAGAGAGCAGAGACTCAGTGTTTCCTCCCCAGCACAGTTCAGCAACTAAGGAATTTGTATTGTGGTCCCCAGACAATGTTCAAAAACAATAAGATTATCTGCAGCGCATTAGTGCAGCTTCCCGATCAAACACGCACACACACATTCACACACAGAACTCCTCACGGGACTTAAGTCTTTCCACAGGTGTAGGATTAAGTGCATTAAACTGGTTTAGGAATACAAGTCAACTAATCTAACACAAGCACAACCTGCTGACATAAGATATTATAAACTAAAAAGAGACCAAGCAGAGTTATTGAAAATTTGACTTCAGCACAAAAGGTTCAAAAGTCAAAGCAGAAGTGCTCCAGGTTTCTGTCTGTTTTTGTCCATAAAAGGAAAGTCAAAAGGGATCCAATAAAAACAACCACTAAGACATTCTTCAAAATATCATCTTACATATTCAGCAAAATAATTTTTTTTTTTTACAGGTTTGGAACAAGCCAAAAAATAACAATGACCCTAGGAGATATCAGAGACACAAGTTTTTTTATAGATTAAACTTAGTCATACTAAATTAAAGATATCATGTGTTGCACTAATCATATCAACTTTTACCTAAATGGAACATGTACAATCAGGAGTTTATTAAAGTTTCATGAAAGTTTCAAAACTCGGTGGAGAAAATTTGGAGAAACATCTGGATTTTTCACCAATTTGAATAAATTTATGTGACACTTCAAAAGTACAGCATGTTTATTATAGAAGTATTCTCTAATGTTCAAAAGTTTGGGCTCAATAAGCTTTTTTAAAAATAAACACTTTTATTCAGTGAGGATGTATTAAATGAATAAAAATTAACAGTAACTTTCATTAAAAAAGATTCTGATTTCAAAGAAGTGTTTTTTTTAACTTCATACTCAAAGAATCCAAAGAAATGTCACAATATTTTACAATATTACGTTGTTCTTTATTCAAAATGTGTTCCAAAAAACAACAACAACAAAAAAACACATGGGTGTCATTGTGAAATTAAAACTGACCCATGTTGTATGTGATGCTATGAGTGACAATAACCTGCACTGTATGTCACAAAAAAAGTAAGGGAAAACAACAACAATATTTCTAATGAAAATAATGCCAAATACTTAATGACCGGTAAGAAAAATTAACGGCCATTCAACTGCCACCTAGTAGGTGAGGCAGAAAAGTCATTTGGACCCTGACTTGATTATGCTCAGTGCTGCCAAAGTTCTCTTTTTAATCCTTCTAATAAATAAATTATTAAAAAATAATCTATAATCCAGAGAGCTTGTTCTTTGGCCAGTAGTAACTGTATCTGTCCGACAGCTGCCTTAAACGTTAATACAAGATCCAGTTGTTAATGGCTCCGACTCTGGGGGAAAAAAAAAAAAAAAATCAACAAAAAGCTGGTTGTTTATGTACTGCCACATCTATAAACCGCTTGCTTGTTTGCGAGAGGCTCCATACATATATTGTCCCTAAAAGCAGTAAATGAGCACCATTATTTGTGCTGTTGCTTCTAGAAGGTTCTGGCATTGTTAATTTGACCACCTTGTAATAAGTGATAGAGCCAAAAGGACTTTAGCAATAAGCTCTTTACTGTCAAACAATGTGCCGCAAAACGTCATCCGATTGGTGCAGAGTGGGGAAGTTGACGAGGTGGTTAAATGATGTAACAATAGTGGTGAGTCATACTAACGAACCGCTAAGCGTGTGACATCATATTCATTAGATGTGATCCACACCAGCACAAAGACACAGACAAATCCTCGGGAAAGGGTATGTGACCTGAGCCGCAGATATGATGGCTCGCATATTTCATTACAGAACAAAAACAGGCCTAAGAAAGATGCAACACATTGGTCGGTTTAATTCAGTCAATGTGCCACACACATTCACAGAGGCACACAAACACACAC